TTCTTCAGCAGCTTCAGGTGTGCCTTGGTGTCGAACAAATCAACAGATTTAGCAACTTCCAAAGACAAGCCAAAGCCACTTTTCTTATCAAATCGTTTTTCTACATAGCTTTGCTCGAAGATAACCTCTCCTTTCATTTTGTTTAAATTACAGATTATTCTGTGATGAAAAGTATCTATTTATAGCCATATTGCGCTTCTGTTTCTTTTTTTAGCATCTTGCTGGCGAAAATTACTTTGAAAGTACACAATTGTACTGTGATGTTCCCAAATGTGTTGTCTGACGTCATTGTTGTATTTATGCGTTTGTCTCCGATTGTGCCACGTCCCTCACACGACACAAGTTTTGGATAATATAAGGGTGAGCAGGATTATATAAGATTAAAGGGGTCAAAGCTGATCCAATTAGAACAGCAAAGAGAAGTAATCAAAGAAATATCGTTCAACTGGAAGAGAGTAGTATCCAACGTGGCTGTGGTTACATGGCCCAATTCACCTTGAGATACAACCGACAAAGAAATGCTTAGCTGGCTGCATTTTACCCCTAAGTTCACATACTTAATGTTGTAGATGATGGACAAGACTGTCAATCAATCTGCCCTATCAAGAGTATGAAAAGACTTTTGGCTTGCATATTATTGTAAACAATCCTTCTATCCCGGCAAGCCCATGAGTTGTAAATCTAATCACGAGAAGCTTCAAATAAACTACCATATTATCTTAAATTTTATATTACGAAACTATAGTCAGAGTGGCCGATACAAGTCTAAATCAGTATACTGTCCAATGCCAAATCGTCCGCTTTACGAGTTCTGACTCATACACTCAAAAGACTTGTTTATTTATCTAAAAAAATCTCTAAAGAAATTCCCAGCTCATAGTGGGTCTAAATTTAGTCTCCTTCAACTGCAATGCACCAGGAAACAATTCAGGGTAACCATAGCCAAGGACGTACCAATCCCTATCTTCCCAATTTGCCTCATTAGGTTGTTGGCTACTCAACAGAGCAGCTACAACCTCACTAGCTTTCCAAACTCTCATGACGTTACCACCCATAAGCTTAGCAACATCTTCATCAGTTCCATTGGTTCTTTCGAGAACCTTGGCAATCAATTCAGGATACTTCGATACGTCCTCTAACCCTACCGGAACTGAACTGCATCCATCGAAGTCTGAACCAAGCCCAACATAGTCCCATCCTACAAGATTGATAGCGTGAGCAATGTGATCTGCTGCATCTTCAATAGTAGCTTCCCCAGATTCCAGTTGGGTAATGAAAGGATTGTAGAAATTAATACAGATAACTCCACTGTTTTTCTTCAATAGTAAAAGCACCTCATCAGACACATTCCTAGGATGAGGAGTCACGCCATAACAAGATGAATGAGAAAACATCACAGGTGCTTTGGTTGCTTTCAAAGTATCTTTCATGGTTTTGTCACTAACATGAGAAATATCCACGATCATCCCTAATCTATTCATCTCTGCCACACATTCAACGCCAAACTTGCTTAAACCTTTATCTTCTAACCCACCTGTGACTGATGAAACTGAAGTAGCAAAAGGATTGTCACCGTTATGAGTCAAAGTAGCATATCTAACTCCTAATTCATAGTACAACCTTAAAACTGATAACGAAATGTCCACTTGATGTAACCCTTCAATTCCCATAGTCACAACAAACTTCCCCTCATTAAATGCCTTCAAAGCATCCTCTGAATTAGAAACAACTGCTATCTCGTAATCTGCACATAGCCTTTTAACAGAATCAATTTGTTCTAAAGTATCTCTAACAGCACTGTTAGGAACATTAAAATCTTGGCTATACCTGTCTTCATTTTGGCACTCAATAAAACAGCTGAAAAATTGGATCCCAACTCCTCCCTCCTTCAATCTGGTTAAGTCTGTATGCGCCGTTGTATGGTTAAAATCGAAGTCTCCATTACTGGAAAACTCATAGTGTAATTGGCCTCTCAATAAATATGGGAAATCATTGTGGGTGTCAACGATTGGAACTGTTTTAGACAAATTTTTAATCCTAGATACAACTTCTGGATCTGCTTTTGAGATCTCAACTACTTCCTTTGCTTCCAGCATGATACTTTTTATTGAATGTTATCAGTTTGAAGGGGATTTGCAACCTTTTTAAATGAGCAGAATCGGTGTTGTGAGTCCCCCCATATATATAATTTATGGGGGGTCCCAGGGTCCCCACAATTTTGAATCATCTACTCTGGGGGGACTTCTAAGTCTTTCATATTGTATATTATCGAAAATCTAAAGCTTAGCTTCCTGCAAAAAACTGATTGCCCTAGCTGCCATTCCGAACCCTGCTTGATAACCGTAACCAGCTGCACCATAGTTGTGAATTAATGGTTTCCCGTTAACTATTTGCTTTTCTATTCTGGTACCACCTTCTCTGAAGGGCCTAAGGCCAGCAGCAGATCGCATCACCTCTAAATTTTCAAGCTTATGACCTGTGGGATTTTTGGTTAAAATCTCTGGAACAAGCTCAGTAGTTCTTCTCAAAATGTCATCATTTTGCTCCAGGTATGTTTCACTGGCCCACGAGTCTTTCTGGAGAAACCCACCTAAAACAAGCTGATCGTTGGAATATGGTCGTTTGATAATATAGGTGGCATAATCTTTTCCCCATCTCATAGTGTTTTCTGTGATATGTGGAGCCTTCACTACTAAAACTTGTCCTCTAACTGGATGCATCTTTGAGTCATTGACACCGCATAACTTAAAGCTGCCTAGACCGGTGCAGTTGAAAACAGCTTTGGTATCAGTACAAAATGCTTGGTTGATATGATCCAATTTTTGTCTCTTGAACTGTACTCCTCTCTCTTCTAAATACCGCTTCATACTCTGAATAAATACAGGGCAGTTGAAGCTAAATGATTTGAATCTAATTCCATACTTGGTTCCTCTAACAAGCTCTTCTGCTCCCAAAATCTTCATATCTTCAAGGTAAGTTAGCAAGTTATCGATCTTCTCCTTTGGGGGGATTTCATCCCAGTACTCAGTTGAATAGCAATAGTCCAACCCACAACTAGGTCCACCCAAAGTCTCTCTTATCTTCAACAAATTGATATATGTAAACTTATCGTACTCTAAGGTTTCTTTGTCACTTCCACTGATGCAACTGAAATTTCCTCCAGCATAAGGAGATGTGAAGTTTACAGATTCATCCCCAGGTAAGTATTCAGCTACTACAACGATACTCTTGCCGTTCCTATCGCATTTGTCTAGTAAATGATAAGCGGTGTATAAACCAACAATACCTGATCTGCCTGAGTTAGTCCTGAACACTTAATTGGTGTCTTCGTGATATTATATGCGTACCCAACGATAACGTATTCCATGATATATGATATTAATAGAGAAACAAGAGTTAGCGATATTTGTTATAAATTGCAAAGGCTCCAAAAACACTTCTCTCTTTGACTTTATTTGTGCAGTCACTGGTCGTCGTGATTGATAATATGATTTTCAGCAGAGGGGGGTCTGGGGGGACTGTTGAGTTACCTATCTAGGAACAGATTTTTTAGGCACTTACATTATCAATTTAGATTTAAACTAGGAAACTAAGGCTTTAATACATCCATCTAAACGTCTTACTGAAAAAACTCTCCTTCAACTCGTACGTAGGGATGTCTCTGTAAGTCAACTTCTCTCCACTTTCTTTATTTCTCTTCCTATTCATAATGATCATTGACACAAGAATCACTCCTACTGTGCAGATCCCAACTGCACCGAAGCAAGCAGTGATAATCATAGCTGATTCGTACTTAGGAGCTTCTCTAGGAAAAAATATGTTGGTTGAAATCAAACCAGCTGCATTTCCGAAGGCAGAACCAGTAACTGTCATTAACGCTCTGTGGTTCTGATTTGGGATATTATTATTATACCAAATGGAAGTCAACACTGAAGACGCAGAGCTACCAGAAGTCATCAAGAAGCAACAAAAGTAAGCAGCACCCTTTTGTGTTGCAGGATCAAGTGTGTAGAATGTTACGAATCCCACTAAAGTAACCAAAATACTAAGCATAATAAAAGCAGACCTAACCTTAGCGAAGTCTGAGCAGAATCCTAAAATAAGCAAAGAAATAGCTCCCCATGCATTTGGTGCCACTGTGTACAAATTAGTCATAACAGTTCCTTCTCCCATTCTTTGAATAATTTCGGGAAACCAGTTGGTAATAGAATAAAGGGGAACACCAATACAAACTTCAAGCAATAACCAAAAGTAAGTGAAAGGGTGTTTGAATATCTCGACAGCTTCTTTGATAGAAGTTTCTGTTTGACTGGAGGAAGATGAATCAGTTTCAATTCTCCAAATTGCACATTTTCTCTCTTCCTCCGTTAAGAAACTACACTTCTCAACTGACCTTGGTAAATAAAAGAATGAGATAACCGACATAATCACAGTCAACGCTCCTTCGATAAGGAAAAGATATTGCCAACCTTTCAAAGACCCAGTCTTGATTTGGAATACCCCATAAGCCAATAATCCCGAGAATGCATTTGAAAAACTCATAGCAGCGTAAAATATAGACAATCTCCTTCCCATTTCATCACGTCTGTAAAATGTTGTTAAGTAATAGATAATTCCAGGAAAGAAAGCTGACTCAAACATCCCCAAAAACCATCTACAAGTAAGGAAAGTGCCGTAGTTGAAAACGGTAGCCTCCAATAAAGTAACCAACCCAAAACCGAACATCATGAAGGGGATAACATTAGCAACAGTGTACTTTTTCATCAAATAAATTAATGGAAATGAAGCCATCACGAAGGGTACATAGAAAATAGACAACATATTATTCCATTCATTGCCCAGCATTCCAATATCAATATCCATACCATTGGTTTTAGCATTCGAAATGTTGCCTTTATCCAAAGAATTAAATAAGTACATAACTGCAATTACAGGCAAGATATGAATATCAAACTTGCGGCAGATTCTTCTTTCTAACATGTGATCAACAGGTCTAGCATCTTCCAAAAGCTGCATTTCTTCAAGAGCTGACTTACCGTTGTCAGAGCCATGTACTGAGACGACTTCATGAACATTGTTCATTTTTATTTCACTTATATCACTCATTATCTGTGTGATTACTCCCGAATATGTAAGTAGTTGAAGATTGCTGCTAGTTCAACACCTATTATAGCTTACCGTTCTTATCATTGCTCTTATCAATCAATACCTTAAAACTAATTGTCAGAGGAAACACATTAGTCCCCCCATAAAACGCAGTGTCCCCCCAATAAACTAGTGCGCGCTTGCATCAACTAGATAAGCTGATAAGGTAATCTGCTGCGAGTTCCCCCATTCCACCACCACAGGGGCTAAAAACCAAGTTAACCAGAAGAAATAGACCGCATACCTATGGGGTTTACAAATCGAAACTCAAGTCAATACGAGGAGAAACCTTCAATGTAATTATTTAGGATGATTAGGTAGCCTACTTACTTTTTCATCTACAAATGAAAGTGTTTGTCTTGACTTCAAAAATAAATCTAGTGTGTAATAAAGCTCTCCTTGATATGTTCGTATGTTAACAAGACGATGAAAGTCAATCCTATTCTATATTGCAGATCTCAATGATCTTATCGCAACTCGGCTGCGACTTTCCCTGAAAACAAAAAGTTGTAAGTATGATGGGAAAACGAATAAGAAAGCGTGGTGTAGGACCATTCCCCTGCTCCTATACTTCATGTGGTAAGGTATTTTCAAGATCAGATCATTTGAGAAGACATATGCTGAGTCATGATCCTACAAAACGTTTGCGATGCAGAGTCAGTACGTGTACGAAGTCGTTCACACGAAACGATGCAAGAAAAGTACATGAGAAAACACACATAGATACCCCTCCAGCAATTGATTTGCTTCATGATCTAGAGAACTCCACCTTTCGGGAAGAAACTTCAGCAACTCAAATAGAAGCCGTAGGGCAAGATGACGATGGTGATGACGATGTGCCAAATCCACATCATGACATTGATTTCAGTGTGGAGAAAATCTTCTTCAAAAGAAGAAATTTCTTCAGCCCGGACATATCTCCATCCGAAGGCAACTCTCCTTTTGGTATTACTTCTCTTATGCTGCCAGAAAATCAGAAAGGGGTGCCTCCCAAAACGAACTCTAACATAGGTCCATATTTTCAGACATCAATCCTGGGATTCTCTCCAGATTTAATGGGAGCCTTTGAAGAGTCTATTGATTTTGATTTTGAAATCCCGGATATCTTTAAGGGCCCGTTACCTTTCAGTCAAAATTCAAAAGATGCTAATGAACAGCAGATTGACCAAATTCTTTTATCCCAGATGGTACAGTACATTCCTGATCTTCAAGAGGATTCCAACTTTACGTTGAAGAATATGAAATTGTTCTTGTCCAACTATTGGTCTGCCTATCACCCACAGTTTCCTGTTCTCCATAAACCTTCTTTTTCAACACCTGACGCTCATCCTTTACTACTATTGAGCATGGCTCTTATTGGCTCATCATTATGCCAATCGGCTCCAGCACCTGGTTATTGGGACTTGATAGACAGCGATACCATCGTTGAGTTATCAGACAAGATTGCCAGACCTTTACGGTGGCTTTTACTCTCATGCCCTGAAGCAGCTCCTCCGTGTAAATCATGGTTGATTCACAGTTTATTAATACTCGAGATGTATGAAATAAATCGATCAACTCGAGACCTACATGAAAGAGCATGCATTTACAGTGCTACTAAAATTCAGCTATTAAGACGAAGTCCATTTTTGGGAGACCAAAATGCTAAAAGTTCTCTTGAAAATTGGATAGAAAATGAATCTATGCGAAGAGTAGCATGGGAAGCGTTTTATGTTGATACAATACAAGCCGTGGTTTTTAATCATCCTGCCAATTTGTATGCAAATAATTTAAAGCTTTCACTTCCTTGCCCAGATGAATTTTGGGAAACAGATTCTTCGGATGCACTAGATCTTTCACCTTCTTCCCTTATCCAAATTCCAACTATATCAGAATCGTTAAGAAAAATACTTCAGAATGAGCATGTGAGCACTGGGTACTTTGGCTACAAGATTATTTTAGCTGGTTTACTTAACTTGATCTTACAAATGGAACAGACTGAATCACAATCATTGGTATTGGGTTTGAAATTGAGCGAAGATAACAATTGGCAAGAACTAATTGCATCTGCACTAGAATACTGGAAGTTGTCAGCCCCGAAGACTTCCAATTTGTGTTCTGATAAGCTTTGCCAATATCCAGAATATCATGCAGCGCAGACTTATCTAAGAATTAGACAATATGATTATTACGTGTACGCCGGTTCTCCTCATAGGGCTAATGTGAAGATTAATATGAAAGATTATGAGAGTGCAGCTAAAAGAATCAGCCGCTGGGCTCAAAGCTTAAATGGGGCATTAACAGTTGTACAAGCATACATCTTACTTTTTGAAATGATCGTCCCTTTGAACAGTAATTCCAATCAGCAGGTAATGGTCGAATATGAACCTCAAAAGGATCCTGTAATCTATAGACCAATGGCTGTTCTCGCAACTATCTTCCCATTGTGGTGCTATGTCTTCAATTTATATGGCCCTGAGTCCTCCTTCAAGGCACCTGATACAGGATTACAACTCGAAGATGGTTTTACCCCAAGTGTTGAAGACCCAGGATCATATTTGAGAAGAATAAGAGAAGAATTTGGTGTACGAACGGGAAAACCGGTGAACTCTCTTTCGTCGATGGGCTCAGAAATGGTGACCTCGACGTTAGCAGAATATGCTAAAGCGTTGCCTGAAATACCCAAAATAAACAACATCGTTGGTCTATTAGTATTATTGGCTAGGGGGTATTCTAAATCTTCTTCCCAAGTGGCCAAAAGATTTGGAACTTTGATAAAGCATTGCCTGGATCGGAGCATGGGTAGCAACAGCGTGTTCTGTGTCGAATTAAACCTCATGTAATGCCAATGCTTTATCTGCAGTAAGTATGACTGTATATATAACCCATGTGATAACTGAAAATGAAAAAAGAATGACTTTGTGATTAATGTGGATGGTCTTTTAAAAACCAGTATCTTGAAGAGCACTGAATATTTAGTGATACGCAGTGTGTGTACCGCTGTTTGTCGTGTGATACATGGGAGATTACACGCGCCGGAAATTCAGTTTTCGAGATCATATTTGATCACACACGACTCTAACCTGCTTCAAAATAAAATACCTCTACATTTGTTCTTCAGCTCAACTTTTAGGCCAAGATACTGCTTGATTGGGGCCCAACAATCGAAATTTATATTGTGGATATTTTATGTTATTTTTTGGAGAAACTTCTAATATTTATAGATAAGAAATCTGTATCAATTTGCAAATAATTGATAAAATCTGCAAATTTAAGAAGTTCAACAAAACATTTAAATTACGTCAATTGATATAATTCTTCTACAATACTACAAATCAGTTTATATACAAATCGAAATAGCATTGCGTTTGGTAATGGATTTCCGATGATACCAAAGCATTGACGAATATTCGTAGAGACTAATACTATTGCGGTGTTTAACGGCCAACATAAATAGTATAGACCGAAATTGTAAGAAACTTCGGTGAGTGTGACAGTCACAATGCATTCAAAACAGACAATGGTTGCCAAAAAAACTCGTCAAAGACAGCTAAAGCCATGGAAGCAAGAACACATCAATTTCTCCTCTGGGCTGCAAACGAAACAAAAGAATCTGACTATCTTTTGAGCATTGGAGCCACACTTTTTCGCAGTTAAATAGATTGTTTAGACTCAAGATGCCGAATAACCGGTCTGTGCTTGTCACAGGAGCATCATCGGGAATTGGCTTTGCAGTTGCAAAAGAATTTTCGAGCAGAGGATATAAGGTCATTGCTGGGGCTAGAAGGTTGTCTTCTATGGAGGAATTGGCCCAATTGAATGTGAAGACAATCGAATTGGATATCACTTCTCTCGAATCCGTCAAAAAATTAAAGCTACTAATCGAGGCCGAATATAATGGAGAGCTCATGTATTTATTGAACAATGCTGGACAAGCTTGTATGGCTCCAGCAATGGAGGTATCTGACGAAAGGGCTGAACAATGTCTTCAAGTTAACCTATTGAGCCAAATCAGGGTTACCAGAGAACTAACTCCATATGTTATTAATGCCAAAGGTGCTATAGGCTTCACAGGATCTATTGCTGGTATTACAAACCTTCCTTTTGTGTCAATGTACTCCTGTGCGAAGGCTGCCCTTCTGTCTTATGCCTCAAGTTTAGCATACGAGTTAGAGCCATTTGATGTTAAAGTTCTTCACTTCATCACAGGTTCAGTTCCCACTGGGTTCACCGATAGTGTGAAATTCGAAACTTCTTATTATGATGAAGAAGGACTAGAAGATTACTTTGCCGCAAGATCTGATTTCGGGAAGAAGGGTCCAACACCAGAAATCCATGCCGAGAAGATCGTCAATGATTTTGAAAGTTCTAAACTAGGTGTTGTTGACTACTACAGGGGTGGCAAGGCTTTGTTTGTATGGTCAACAAAGTTCATGCCCAGGTTTCTATTTTCGTTCATGTTCGTGCGTGCTTTGAACTTACAGAAACTATTCAGCAACATCAGGAAGAAGTACAGTTCTTTGAACCCTCTTAGACACAAGAGTTAGATAGAAGGATTGGAAAAGGTAGGTGAACGTAAGGTTAGAGAAGTGTTTGGTGAGTTGCATTGATTTTATAAGCATTGATTCAAATCTACAATCCAAGCCATAATTTTCCTTTTGTGATGTTTGCTAATTGAGTCAATCTGATATCTCCGCTCGATTTACCAACTCTGAACTCATACTCGCCAGCCTCTAGGCTCCATTTACCGAAATATTCGTCAAAAAATGACAAAGAGTCTTTTAAAGATAAATGGATCTCCACTCTAGCAGACTCTCCGGCTTTTATAGAGACTTTTTCATAGCCTTTCAACTCCTGACATGGCTTTATTGTCTTAGGATTTTTGTGAGACGTATATAACTGAATGACCTCATCTCCATCACAGCTTCCAGTATTTTCGACGCTAACACATACATTCAACTCGTCATTTTCTTCGTCAATTTCAACAAGCAATTTAGAATATTCAAACAGAGTGTATGATAATCCATGACCGAAGGGAAAAGACACCGCCTTTTTCATCTTTTCATAGTATCTGTAGCCCATGAATATATCCTCTCCATACAACACTCTGCCCCTTTCAGTCTTAAAGTTTAGGAATGTGGGGTTGTCAACAAGCGTGAGTGGGAAGGTCAAGGACAATCTTCCACTGGGATTGTAATCACCAAACAAGACATCAGCAATGGCATGGCCAGCTTCATTACCACCATACCAAGATTGAACTAGACATTTGGATTTGTCTAGCCACGGAAATTCAACCGGTGTACCCGACTGATTAACAATCACTGTATTTGGATTTGCCTTGAGAACAGCTTCCACTAACTGATTGGTTAACAAAGGTAAGTCCATATTATCTCTATCCGAGCCTTCAGTTTCCCACTCATTGCTTAATCCAATACACAATACAACTTTGTCCACTTGCTTAGAAATACTTGCCGCATGTTTGATTTCTTCTTGCGGATCGATTACCTTAGCACACCCAAAGGCAATTCCTCCACCCCCACCGAAATCAACTACAGTGGCATCAGGTGCACTGAAAGTGGGCCTAGAGCCAAACTCAACTTTAACCCGATAGGACTTGCCTTTCTTCAAAAAAATCGAGTTTCTCTTCTCTGTACTCCCAGAATTGAAGAAAGAGTTGCCTTTCTTTTGATCATGCTTGTTATCCACCACAAGTTTGTCATCCACATACAATAAAGCAGTTCCCAAAACAGTACACCCAAAAGAATACTCAGCAGACTCTTGTGGAGCAAAATCACCTTCGATATCGATGTAATATAAATCACTATTGAGGCCCAGATGTCGGTAGTCTTGTAAAAAGATGTAAGCTTGGTCCAAGTTCAATTCATCAAATTGCCTTCTATTCGCTTTGCCCGGTGGATTCAAGAAGAATTTCATGTTGTAACCAACTTTCCCGGTGAAAGGGTTTGTCAATTGATTTGCTAAGGACGGTAATTGTTTGAAAGAGTAGCACCCTACTGTATACTCTGGTGGATTGGACAATTTGGATGAAATACCGTCATAAGAGGTGGTAACATGATATGGCCTTAAGAATGCTGAGCCTCCACCACTGAAGATTCCAGTTTTGGCATTGGGACCAATAACTGCTATCTTTTCATACTTCGCCAAAGGAAGAATTTTGTCTTCATTTTTCAATAAAACTATGGATTCAGCACTTAACTTTCGTAACAAAGCAGAAGTTTCTTGGGTATCGTTATCAGTATCTTCTGGGCCATCTGCAATAATCCCCGAGTCTAGTGTAAAGTTAACCAAGTTCAAAACATTACGAACCCGCTCATCTAAAAATTGAATGTTCAACTCTCTGGATTCCACCATATGTTTGATAGCATTCACAGACCGGTAATAAGTAGGGCCCGGCATTTCAAGATCTAACCCATTTTTCAAAGCAGTTTCCGATGTATAAAGACCATGCCAATCGGACATAATCAAACCATTCCAACCCCATTCTCCTCTCAAAATGTCATTCAAGAGCTTCTTACTCTGGGAAGCCCTGTCGCCATTGACTTTGGTGTAGCTGGTCATAAAGCAACGAGGACTAGAGTACTTGACTGCTAGCCTAAAGGGCTCTAAGTAGATTTCCCGTAGGTTTCTCTCTGACAAAATTGAGTCTGAAGCCTTTCTTTCATGCTCTAAATCATTACATACATAATGCTTGATTGTAGCAGCAATATGCTCGTGTTGAATTCCATTGATAACCGCACTTGAACTCATACCGGACAAGTACGGGTCTTCACTAAAACTTTCGAATCCTCTTCCCCCCAAAGGTCCCCTTTGCATATTACATGTTGGTCCCAAGATAATATGTGCACTTTTGTGTTTGGCTTCTAATCCCATCAATTTTCCTGCTTCGGTTAAAAGCAGTTTATTGAAAGTTGATGCCAATGCAGTTCCACAAGGAAAACAAGCAGCAGGAACACCATTAAACCCTTTAGATCCACGGACACCATTGGGCCCATCACTACATTTAACTTTTGGTATCTTTAATCTAGAAATATCATGGGTGTGCCAATTGTCTTTTCCAGAAAGAAGAAGAATTTTCTCCTCTAAAGTCAATTGGGTCAAAATCTTCTCCACGTCCATAGTTTCTCATGTAAAAAACATCTAATCGCAACTAGGAAGGTATAAATAGTTGACGGCGGTAGGTTGAAAAGGAATCAAACATGGGGAAATTAAGGAAGAACTGCCTTATTAAGACTTCTCGTAAAAATGGTCGCAAAAGTAAGGCACACGACAAAAAGTGTGTACTGGAATGGGGGTTCTTTGGGGGTGCGACAGCACGTACGACAGTGCGTGCCGGTACCAAACGACGTGGGGGATATCTGTCGTGCGCGTTCATACCCATTAGCCACTGAGCCCTTTCATCGAAATGCCCAGTATGATTTTCGTTTGTTTGGAGTGGTTATAAGACCAAGGCGTTGTATGTAAACAAACCCAACAAGAGAAAGGTCACAGTTTCAATGAACAGTACGAGTTTAGGCTTTTGTGGCTTATGGCTGCATTATTTGAGTGTTTAGTTTCTATTGCTGGTTTAGTTTATCTTGCCAATACCGCTAAAAACACGATCTTCTACCCTGGGTCTATATTTAGGTCCATTAACACGCTACCATTGAACTGAAATGTTCCCGTTCAACGCTAGAGTTTGTTGTTTTGTATGACAAAGAAGCCAAAAGGATCGGCTATTTGAATTCAACAAGCGAAGTATCACATGCGACGTAGAAGAACTATTGCATGATGTTTAAAGGTAATTAAAGCTTCGTGAGCATCAGCAGATCTGCTTACTCCATAGGGTGCAGCTGGAGTATCTATTTTCTCCTCTTTAGCTCGGTTACGAGTTCAAAAGCACCTACTCCTGTGATTTTTGGGCAATTAATTGCTTGTTATAGGGTATTTTCGCCAATCAGCCAATATTTTTACCTTATTGGGTGCGAAAATAAAAGTCAATTTGGCGTACAATAAGAAAATTATTTTATGGCTTTAACTGAGAAAATAATTATTTTTTGGCTTTGTAGATAACTTAGCATCTAGACCTACATCCCCACTCATTACGAAGCATCCCATACTGCCTTGGCTATCCAGATGGCACTAGCAATCCTGTTCCAAAAGGCGTTCAAATCCCTTTCACATTGTACATATGTAACCATTCGTAAAAGATGAATGGTGGTCAAGTCCCCCCAATTCTCAACGTTCATTTTAACGCACTTAAGAGCCTTGATATATTGTAGAAAAACTGCGTTTCCTAACGCAGTTTAAATCGACAATCTCGAGAACAATTAATATCGCCAAAACTAAGGGTAATTACAATAGGTCATGTGTATAGAGCGTGTACTCCGCGATGGGCGGGTTTAGGAAGTAGTAGATCACCGGGGCTGTTTTTTCCTGTCTCGGAAGGTTGTCAACCATATTTAATTTCCACATTTATCACTATTGTTGTGCAACAATGTGGATGCGAAAAAAATACTTTGTGGATCTCGGGTTTTTATGGCGTATGTTCGTGAATCCCAGCTTTTGTGATGTTTTACAAACTTAGTCGGGAGTTCTTGGAGATCCTTTAGAAGAGTATAAATACAGCTTGGAAATCCCTTGTTTCCTAGTTATCCTCATCAGCTTTTCTTACTTTCGCTAATAACCAATGAAATTTGCTTCTACTTTGATGCCTGCTTTGGCTTTGATAGCCAAAGCCATGGCTCTTGATATCACTAGTAACACAATCTCAAGGGGAACCTTTAGTACCAATTTTGGGGACACCACAGTCGAAGAAGGTGTTTATTGGTCTATCATTGACAACGACTTCACCACCTTTGTAGGTGACTTGATTGTCAATGGTGATTTATACATTACATCCGAATCTCCAACCATTGGTTTGAATGTGAATTTGGGAGGTGCCAACAACCAATGGACTGTTGGTGACAATGGTAAAGTGGTGTTAAATTCTGAACAGTCACAATTGACTCCATTCTATAATACAGACGCTACTACCTTCACCAACAACGGTCAAATTTGGTTTGCAGGTAACGGTGACTTTGGTACTCCAACAATGGCCATTACTTCTTCAGACTGGAATAACTACGGTTTGATTCACTTCACCCAATTGTACAGATCTGCCGGTTGGGTGAACTTGGGCTGGGACTTGCAAAGAATTAACAACGATGGTGCGATTTGTTTGGTCAACATGGCTTACAGACAAGCCACTGCCATCGACGGTAGCGGATGTTTCGATATTGGTGAAGACTCTACTGCTTGGATTGCATACTCTGACTTGGATATTTCTACTGATCAAACCTTTGTCTTCTCTTCCACTAGTGGATCCATTAAAGTTGATGCTTATACCGTTGAACAAACTTTCAATGTTGTGGGATGGGGAAGTGATAATGTGATTGGCCTTGGTGTTGCAATTGAGTCCTGGTCGTACAGTGAAGATGGTATTTTAACTGTTACTGCCAATGCCGTTTCTTCATACAAGTTTAACATTGGTGCTGGCTATGATGATAGTTTGATTGAGAAAATTACCCCAGATTTCGGTCCAGGTATTGGAGAGGTTATTAATGGTGGTTTGGTGTACCAAGGAGATGCTGTGAACACCGAAAGACCTTCTACTTGTCCCAAGTGTTTGGATGTGCCAATTACACCAACTGATGCTTCCAGCACTTTTGAGCCATCATCCAGTTCAGCTGCTTCTTCTAGTTCAGCTGCTTCTTCTAGTTCAGCTGCTTCTTCTAGTTCAGCTGCTTCTTCTAGTTCAGCTGCTTCTTCTAGTTCAGCTGCTTCTTCTAGTTCAGCTGCTTCTTCTAGTTCAGCTGCTTCTTCGAGTTCAGCTGCTTCTTCTAGTTCTGAGGCTTCTTCTAGTTCTGAGGCTTCTTCTAGTTCAGCTGCTTCTTCTAGTTCAGCTGCTTCTTCTAGTTCTGAGGCTTCTTCTAGTTCAGCT